ACATAACAAGCAATGCTGATCATTCACTGGAACTCCCATTCTCAGCAATCGATCTCTTTTAGTAACCTGCCTCTCCATGCCAACCAGCTCAGGAAACTATGTTTTGGTATTGAGAATTTGCTCCAGATTAGCAAAGTTTCCTTCATCTGCTCCTTCCTTCCTCTTAGCCAATCATAACCACTGCTTGCAACATAAGGTATATCCTTATTTGCAGTCCATTTGCAATTGTGAACAGCTGATTTTAGCTCATCTCTAATCCTGATCAGTTTTCTCCAATACCAACTACAGTCAGTTTGTGGAGTGTACTCCCAAATACTCTTCCCTTTTAGGTAGTAAATGTGCATCCACTTAATCCACAAGCTTTCTTTTCTATTCTCTAAATCCCGCAGTTGCTTCCCTAGAAAGGCTTTATTCCATGCTTTTGGTTCCTTAACATTTAGCCCTCCTTGTTCTTTCTTCCTGCAAATGTCATCCCAAGCCATTAATGGAACACAGTGTCCATTGGTTGTACATGCCCACAGAAACTTCCTACAACAAGCAGTGATTTGATGAATCACTGTTTGTGGTAATAAGAATATGCTAGCCCAGGAGGAGTGAAGGGTCATTAGAACATCATTAACTAAAACTTTTTTCCTTGCATAGGATAAATTCCTTGAAGCCCAACATGCAATTCTTGCAGTGACTTTATCTATCAAGCATTGATAGTCAGCTTTACTCCAGGCAGTTGGTGCAAATGGTAAACCAAGATACTGCATTGGGAAGTCTCCAATTTCAAACTTCATGATATCCTTGACTTGTTTGCTGTACACTGTCTGATGAGCCCCCAAAATACATATTGGATTTATTAAAGTTGATATTTAGTCCAGTAGTATCTGCAAAGTGATCAAGTGCATCCTTTACTCTTTGAATTGTGTGAACTTCAGCTCCACTGAATATAAGTAGATCATCTGCAAAGCTTAAGGATATGAGGTTAAGTTCTTCACACTGTGGATGCCTGACAAAACCATCTTTAGCAGCCTCAACCTTAAGTAGTCTTGTTAAGTATTCCATAGTCAGTACAAACAGTAAGGGAGAGATTGGATCACCTTGCCTTAGTCCCCTTGCACCTGAGAAATAACCCACACTATTGCCATTTAGACTTAGTGAATAACTGCAAGGTGGTAATACACTCCATAATCCACTGAATGAACTTCTCTGGGAACCTAAACTCCCATAACATATCTTCAATAAACTCCCAATGGACAGAATCAAAAGCTTTTTTAAAATCAACCTTCATCATGCAGGATGCTTTAGCAGTTTTCCTTTTGTACAATCTCATCAGTTCTTGAGCCAGTAAAATATTGTGCAAGATCAGTCTGTCTTGTACAAAAGCACCTTGATTCAGGTCAATAAGATCAGGAAGAATGTTACGCAATCTCTTACACAACATTTTGGATATTCATTTGTGTATGGAGTTGCAACAGGAGATGGGCCTGTAGTCAATGGCATTTTTAGGACTATCATGCTTTGGGATGAGAGCTAGTAAGGTTGAATTAAGCTGTTTCAGAAGCTTCCCAGTTTTGAAGAACTTTAACACTACATTACTAAAGTCTTCCCCAATAATGTGCCAAGACTTCTTGTAGAATCCATTGTTTCCATCTGGACCAGAACTTTTGTTCTCATCAATGCTAAAAAGAGTTTCTTTAACCTCCTCTTTAGTGAACTCTTTTACCAGTGAAATCTACTGGTTTATGGATAGAGTACTCCCTGATTGGAATACTTTGTCCTTTCAGCTTCTGAACCCAGAAGCTCATTACTGCCTTACATGTCATAACATACTCTTGGCATTCTTCATTTTCTTCTGAGTTACATGTCATAACCCAGAAGTTTTTCCTGCAACTGCTCCAATCTTACTTTGCAAACCATCTCTTTCTCCTCTATTCTTGCAAAATATTTCCTGTTAAAATCTCTTAAAGGTGAGCTTCTGCTTTTTAGCTAATATGAATTGTTTACTTCCTTCAATCTGAACATTCCAGCCCTGATCAACTATATCTTTGAAAGCAGGACGTTGGGTCCACATGTTGGAAAACCTGAAGGACTTCTTCACTTGCTGAGTCGCATCTCCCCACCTGATGAGAATCGGGTTATGATCTGATATGAGAATTGGACTTCTTTATGTAATTATTATTACGCCATTATTACGTTTAGTGATCTCTAAAAACTTTGGTCGAATAGCGAATTCAACCACCAATCTTTTGAATTCGGTCTACGATTTGTTTCATTTCATCCCCATAAATTTTTTTTTTTTTAATGTTCTCTTAATTACTCTCTTGAAATTTTCGCAATCTAACACTTTCTGCATCATCTTTTTGTTTCTCGTATTTTCACCCTTTTTTTCTTTTTAGAGTTTCTCCGACAGTACAAGAATTTTTTTCTTCCACTTCATACTCTACTACTATTTCCTTAAATTGTGATAACATACTCCACTCTCTTCATCTCCTTGACTAGATATGTATAGGTTTAAAGAAATTGGACATCCAAGAAGGTTACTTGGTGAGAAACTTCAAATGAGAGAAAATCTGGATATATCAAGATGGAGGAAAGAAAATATAGAGGTAAATTTAGGAGATTAAATAGATGGAGATAGTAAAAATTAATGAAATAAAGTGAGGAAAAGGATAGTGAAATTAATAGGATCGGTGAATGCTATTATAATTAGACGAGAGGGAGAGAAATTTAAAGGAGAGCACAAACTAAGAGTATCTTTAGTGGTGGTTAATAAGAAGTAAAAACTACTCTATTACATTCATCACTATTATATAGAGTATAAGAAATTTTGATGGTGTAAGGTTTCTTACACGGTTGAATACATGGTTGAGTGGGCCATCATTCAATTAATGCAAATTAGAAATTAATTTTTTTTAAATGACTAAAAAAAATCAATGGATAGCTCCAATGTGGATCAATGATCATTTAAAAGAATATTAATTATATTACACTTTTATAGTATAAAATCAATGTAGGAAAAGTGTAAAAATGTAATATGGCAAAATGCTGACATGGAATCCTATTATACCCATAATGGTGTAAACCATTGTGGATGCTCTAAGAGAGAAGATGAAGAGTGAGGCATACATTTGATGAGAAACATAAAAATGAACAGTAAGATGAGATAAAATTTTGAAAAAAGAAAAGGAAATGTGATTGAAGAAAGTCAAGGAGAAACGATAGGGAAAGTAAGCGAACATATGTAAAATAGAAGAAATATGATGGATAAGATAATTAAGAAAGAGAGGTTAATAAAAGAATCATGTAACTTGGAAAAATTAGAGGCATTCAAATGTATATATTAGGGGAATAAACTATATGCCATGATCATGCTAGCAATTCCACTATTAACCTATGTTTGTTTGTTTTTTTTTTTTTGAGAAAACTATCTACATATGTACTTATTGGTTGATCCTTCAAAATAGCCAAAACTACCTGGGAAAGAAGCTTAGCAAGGATTTTTTTTTTTACATTTAACACCATCCGTTTAGTATCCTTTCAAGCTTTTTTCTGTTCTTAGCTACACAAAATTTTTAAAAAGAATTTTTCAAAATAAACGTTTAAGTATATTAATTACTCGGTGAAATCAATATTCTAACTAATCCGGATTCGAGCCGGCAATGCCTCTTTCCAGAGGCAAAAATCTCATCCAACAAGTAGATTTTTAATCTACAAGTTTATGCTCGGTTTGATCTTAGAGAAGCGGGACCTTCTCTCTCTAAAAAAGAGGGAGGCCTTTCTGATTCTCAAAGCGGGAAGCTTAACAAGTAATCAAACTTGTTCTTGTAAATCGGAATTTTTAGGTCGCTTCAATCTCTCCAAAACGCAAAGCAAAATTCATCCTTCCCATACCAAAATCAACTTCAACATAATCATCATCCTACCTAACTAGTCTTATCTCACAATATTCTATTCTGCAGCATGAAATCCTATTGGGTCCAAGGGGCAGCAAAACATTCTCTGGAAAATTAAATTTTTAACTTCAGTCTAAAGTTGGGTGGAAATCTAAGCATTTCAGAAGACTCCTGCAAAGTGTAACGATCTTAAAACAAAACGCAAATCCTCAAGCAGAAAGGACATCTTTGTGATAACAAGCTTTCAGCTCATTTTGTGGGAAGCTTAACAAGCAACTAAGCAGAAATCCAAATTCTCATTATTGAAGAACCTAGGGACTCATATCATTACTTCTATTTTGTTTTTACTAGCTAATACCTATTATGGTATAGAACTGCCTCCACCTAGGTCTTTAGCACTAGCAAAAACATTCTCTGAAAATATTAAATATTCATCTACACTTCTAGATTTTGGAAAATAGGTTGAGCACTCAAGCGTCTGCAGGAAACGGTTGCCAAGTGTTATGATCTCAGGATAAAACACAGATCCTCAAGGAGAATAGATAACTCGCAGAGAAATGGATTTTCTTGCTGATTCGTGCGCACAAAGTATAATAATCAGGATTTTCTTGCTGGGTAAGCTTATCATCCTATCAGTATAGAGGTAGCACGTTCCATATTCCTGGAGCTGGGATTGGGTAAACAAGGTGGTTGCCGGACAAAAATTGGAATCTTATTTATCTTGACGGATGAATCCTCAATATCAACACCAAATTTTTTGCCAAACATCCAAGACCTTCACTTATCACATCATTCAGGTAGATATCATCATTATAATCTATATGCATGCTGCTAGATTAGAGCAAATTTGGAAAGTGTTTAATGGAGCAAATTACCAAGTGTTTCCAATTGTGGTGATGAGGCACCCTTTTGATTCACAGAGACGAAAGAGAGCGTCTATAACAATGGGGGAGATCAGTTCCCCTTCCTCCACAACCAAAGTATAGATTACTTTTAAGAGCCTGAAGTTACTCTATATATATCTCCTTCTTATTCCTTGCTATTCCTCCTTAAAATTTCTCCCTTTTTTAAACATCTAGATTCTCCATTAAAATCCCTCAGTTTCTTCAGCCTAAATCAATGGATGAGTTTTACAATGATGAAAGTTTTGTGGATAGTGATAGCTGCGAAATCATGTCCATCCAGGGAGAAGGGAACACTAAATCTGATAGTCAAGAAAATCCACTAGATCATCTAGATCTACCACATCAACGGGCCTCTATTAAGAAGACCAGCAAGGATCTACTAGCACCGGGAATTGATAGGCATCAGAATTGCTTGATTGGAGTGCTATTGGGCGACAGAAACTTTAGTCGGAATAAGATGCAAGCATATGTACGAGAGTTGGGGAGGAAAAGCTATGGTCACCAGAAAGGAAGACAAAGCTTATGTCTTCAGGTTCCGGTCAAAAGAATATAATACTTGAGAATGCTTCTTCATAATGGACCTTATCTCATTGATGGAGCGATGCTAGTTCTATATAGATGGCAGCCGAACATACCACTAAGGTCAATCAAGGTAACAAGCATTCTTATCTGGATAAGGCTGTGGGGTTTACCGACAAAACATCTAACTTTGTGCGCTGGCAAAGAGGCTGCACCCATGATTGGCGAAGTTGTGGATATCCAGGTAACAGATTACGATATCAGAAGAACTAAATACCTTTGGGCCCATGTAAGAATAAATCCATCTGATCCTTTGATATTGGGTTTCTATATGGATTTGGATGATGATGTTGAAATGACATGGATTAAATGCCAATATGAAAGGATACACAAGTTTTGCAAATTGTGTGGTGTTATAGGTCATCCAAAGAGTAGATGTGAAATTAAGCATCCCTGGGAATTAGAAGAGCAGAATGACTCTTTTTTCTAGGCCCAGAGCATCCTTGATGACTGTGACTATGCATGCGATGAACGCAAGGAACTCTTCCCCACATCAATGAGAACCCATGGAAACAAATCCCAAAAGAAGAATATCAAGTTATCTAAAAGGTACATGACTCAATGTGCACATTATTTCCAAGGTATAAGGGACGACACAATCTTGGAGGGTTTCAATTTTACGAGAAAAAAACAGGCCACAACTTTCAGGACCAATCTAAGGTTAGCAATACAAACAGCAGAGACAAAAATGATGGAAACGGAACACTCCCTCCAGCAGCAACCTCAGCCACCGCAGTCGGCGTTGTCGGATCCGGGGCCATCACAACCGGCAGAATTACCTGGAAGCTCAACCTTACTCGCAGCCATGACTCAGCTGGTGACACGTGTCGATAGGTGTGTGGTTCCGGGAATAGGAAAATCACTCCAAGTAATATGGAGTGATCCCCAGGTCACACAACCACTGCGTGAAGAAACAGTCACCTTCAAGAACCTTTCTCAGGAATCAACCAAACTCTGCCTTTGACTCAATTACTTATACAGAAACCCAACCATCATTCGACCTCCCAGAATAGAACCATCCTAATTTATCATTTTCACCTTCATATCATTTAATCAGGTCTCCGTCACCGATTTCCTGGGACTGGTTCTTCAATAAAGATTCCGGCAAACTAGAAGAAGTTTTTTCCCCTTTGAAGATCCAACAACTGAAGAGAGAGGAAACTAAAAAAGTGACGGCAATTCAAGTTCCCAATCTGGATGGAGTTCTCGGTAATAATCCAAAAGAGACTGGGGAAAACAAAGGGGGAGCTCAGAGATCTGGAAGAAATTGATCACTCATTATCATATCTCCAGGAAGAAGGACAACTCCATCATCCCCGACAGAGAGGAAGACTCCAATAAATTTACAACTTCTAAGCAAGAGAGATAGAGCTTCATTTGCAGAAGGAGGGACAGACACTCCAACAACACTCACGCCGCCAAATAAAAGGAGGAATCTCCTAGAGGCAGGTAATTCAGACAACTCGTCTTGATTTCAAGAAGCTGGGAACAATATCATCTACATCTCTCATTCCAATTTATCTGAAGAAGGTCTTCCGGTGGTTGGACCAAACCAACCACCCAAATCGCCATGACGATTATATCCTGGAACTTCAGGGGGTTTGAAAAGACCTCATGCAGAGCTCTCTTTAAAGAGTCTTGTTAGGGTGAATAAACCCAATATCTTATTCTTACAAGAATTAAGGGTTAGTAGAGAAGTAGTAGTTAAGTGGTTAGATAGTTCCATGTTTACTAATTTTGTTTTTGAGTCTTCTGCAAATATGGTGGGTAGAATAGTCGTATTCTGGACAGACTCAGTAAACTTGGAAATAGTATTTTTGAATTTATGTAATAGCTGCTAGGATTGTAGAACAGGACAACTCTGTATGGGGGGGCCTTTTTGTTTATGGTCATCCTCAAGCTGGGAGGAGGGATGAAGTTTGGAATGAAATCAGAAGACTCTTTTTGTTGTACTCATTGCCTTGGGTTCTTCTGGGAGATCTAAATCAAATCATTTCACCACTTGACAAAAAAGGAGGCTTGCAATTCGATGAGCGAAGAGCGAAGCCTTTAAGAAATCTTTCGACTAAGTTCAACCTCTCTGAATTACCATTTAAGGGTAATACTTTCACTTGGTGTAATAATCGGAAAGGTTGTAACAGAATAGTAGAACGTCTTGATCGAGCTTTCGCCTCTCTGTCTTAGCAGTCCATGTTCCCACAAGCAAGCGTAGTAAATATGCCAATTATAACTTTGGACCATGGTTCCATGATCTTGCTCACAAAGGAAAAATCAAGTACAGGACACAAAAAGCCGAAATTTGAAGCATATTGGATCAAGACTCAAACTCCCAAAGACATAGTCAGAAAAATATGGCAACCAGTACAATCAAATGTTGAAAATGATGCAACCACTCTATCTCATAAATTGGATGCGAGTCTGAAACACCTATCAAATTGGCACAGGCAATCTTTTGGAGCAATGGAAGGAGAAATTAAGAAACTAGAAAGGAAGCTGGGAGAACTACAAACACAAGATGGGCTAATTGAAAATGAATTTCAAATAAGCAGCATTAGAACAAGATTCAATTGTTTGACGGAATTTCTAGCAGAGTACTGGAAACAAAGATAAAATATAAAGTGGAACCTAGAAGGCGAAAGGAACACAAAATTTTTTCATGCGTGGGCAACAAAAAAGAATAATAAGAAATAGATCGAAGCACTCAAAGATGGAGAGGCAAATTGGTGCTACTCATAGCCGCAAATATGGGAATTAATGCTTCGAACACTTCAAAAATATATTTGTGGTGGATATTAACTATCCAAATGATGATTTATTATGGTGCACAAGGACTCCAATCGAGGAGCTCATTACGGAACAGATTCAGCTAGATCAGAGATATAACCTGGGAAGGGATTTTAGAGAAGCGGAGGTCCGAGAAGCAATACTGGCCATGAATCCATGGAAATCACCGAGACTGAATGGCATTCTGGCCAGTTTCTATCAAAAATTCTGGCAACAAGTGGGTCAACATACGTTGGAGGCAGTGCTGAGATTGAAGAATCAAGAGTGGCCAGAGGAATAGACCGATACCACAGTAATATTCCTTCCAAAGAAAAAGAACCCCACAGTTCCTTCTGATTTCTGCTCGATCAGCCTCTGTAACGTGAAATACAAAATAGTAGGCAAAGGTCATTGCCAACATAATTAAAAAAGTATTAGGAGGCATCATTTTGAAAAATCAGAATGGGTTTGTACCAGGTCGATACATTAGAGAAAATATTCTTCTAGCACATGAAGCTATAGAATACATCTGAAAAAATGAGGGGGAGACGGGATTGGCAGTCATTAAACTCGACATGAGCAAAGCGTATGGCAGGGTGTCATGGGAAGTTCTAGAAATGATAATGCTCAAACTAGGCTTCCCGAAATCGCTTGTGAAAACAATTATGTGATGGCAGTCGGAAATTTTTTAAGCCGAAAAGAGGATCACGGCAAGGGTGCCCACTTTCCCCGTACGTGTTTATTATTTGTCAGCAGGCTTTCTCTTTAGCCTTGAACAGCTTGGAAGGGCAAAATTCACACTTTGGCATAAAGATAGCAAGAAATGCACCAAGAATCTTTCACCTAATGTACGCCGATGACTGTCTGATCTTCATGGAATGCCGGGAACAAAACATCAGGGCACTGAGTCAAATCCTCAACCAATATGTGAAAATCTCAGGGCAAAGGGTGAATTACGAGAAGTCCAGCTTGATAACAAGTCCCAACACCAAAAGGTGAGTCAAAGAGCTAGTAGAATTATGGTTAAGATTTCACAGCAAAACAAATCCAGGTAAATATCTAGGTCTTTCCCTAGATCTCATGCAGAAAAATAAGTGTTTTGTTTGATGAGATCATAAACAGAATTCGAAGAAAACTTTTCGACTGGAAGAACAACTCTCTTTCCATGCTAGGGAGAGTAACCTTAGCAAAACATTGTTTGACTGCGCTTCCAATTTATATGATGGGGGTACTTAAACCTCCTCGGTCGGTGACAGTCAAAATTGATAGGGCAGTAGCGAATTTCATTTGGAAAGGAGATACAGAAGGTACAGGAGTGCATTGGAAATCATGGACACATATTTGCAAATCCAAGCTCAGAGGGGGATTGGGCTTTAGACCAGCCAAAGAAATGAACCAAGCTCTTCTCGCCAAATTAGCTTGGCGAATACATGAGAATCCATCATCCTTGTTTGCGAGAATCTTTCTGTCTAAGTATGGGAAAGGTAAACAAATACTAGATTGTAAAGAACTACTCCAGAAAGGTCTTAAATGGAAGGTTGTAAATGGAAGGGATATAAAAATTGAAGAGAACTGGATCTCGGATATTACAAACCCTTTATGCAACCAGCCCCCCTGCAAGGTTTATTAGACTACAGGGTAAGTGATCTTCTGGATAATACAAAATCTTGGAATATACCAATGTTAAAAATGTTGTTTCCAGAAGAAACAATCAAAAGAATTTGGGCCATATGTATCCCGATGGATGCTGATCACAGAAGGGACAAGAAGATTGGAAACATAATTAAACCGGGTTCCACTGTTAAAAGCAGATACCATGTTGCGGTGAATCATCAACAAGTGGCTGGAAGCACAACCTCCACATCCAGAATAGAGAATCTCATTGAGAAGGCCTGGAGAAGGTTCTGGCAAGTCAAAATACTAGAGAAAGTCCGATGGATGTTATGGAGAGCAGCTTACAATTCACTCCCAACGTTGAAGGCCTTAGCAAGAAGGAATATTAGTTCTCAAAGCATGTGTACAAGATGTGGAGTACAGGAAGAGGATGTTGAACATGCTCTGCTAGAATGCGATACCTCCAGAGGAATTTGGAGCATATCTGAAATGGGATTCCTTTTTGACCAGGCCAACAAGACGAGTTTCTGTGATTGGCTCAATGACTGGATTATAGAGGCTCGTACAGAAGAATATCTCCAACTCTCTTTCTCTCTAATGTGATTTATTTGGCAATCACGAAACATAGCAACATGAGAAGGTCGATTAAAAGCCCCACAAGTGGTATACTCAGAAGCTAAACGTGATGTACAGTTTTTCAGACAAAATCAAAACCAAGGGCAGCAAATTCAGGAAATAGAATTAAGGCAAGTCAGCGTTGCAAGTGAGAGTTCGAGATTGATTGAACAGAGACAATCCAAATTCTTCATCAGAATAGATGGTGCTTTCAAACAAGACTCGTGGAAAGGTGGAGCAGCTTGGGAGATTGTGTCAGAATCCAGAATTCACATCTCATCAAGAAGGGAAACCCTTTTTGCCCAATCTGCTTTACATACGGAAGCTAGAGCTTGTCTAAGGGGACTTCAATCACCAAGAGATCTAGGCCCTAGCGATGTGGACCTACAAACAGATAATGTGGCGGTTTCAGCAATAATAAGAGGAAAAGCTTTCCCAGAACATTTAACAGATTTAGGAGTAGACATTCACAGTTTGGCGCAGTCTATCCCGAATACAAATATGTATAAAGTAGACAGGTCCATAGTTGAGAATGTGCATAAAATTAGCTAAGACGAGTCTGAATCAAGAAATTGTACGGTAATCTTTTGACTTATTTATAAAAGTACATTTTCCAAAAAAAAAAAAAAGGTCCAAGACTTTTACTAACTCCACCAATTGTTTATTTGTAACTTTCAGTCTTTTTACTTACACATTTGTCTCAACTAGTCTTTTGGTGTCGCGCGTTGCGCGACCAGTCTTTACTAATACTTGTGTAATATAAATCGCAATTAAGAATATTTAGAAAAACATATTTCGCTGTTGGACTTAATAATGTGTACTCGGGGAATATTAAATGTTATAAATATTTCGTGTATGTTTATAACAAAAAGAAACATTAATGTTCATGTTTAATATGATGGGAATTAAACTAAAAAAATGTATTTGAGATATGCAGAGGAAAAAAAAAAGGTATAAATTGAGTGTCAAACTGACCTCATGTCAGTCACTTATTTGTTTGATCGGCGTAACTTTAGTGTTGTTGTCCTCAGGTACTTCATGCCACTCTCTCTGGCGGTTATCAGCAATGGCGTCACAAAAGAACCGTCGTCCTCATTAAATTGTTGACGTAGTAATCTCAAAGCCCCCTGTACATTCTTTTGATCCTCTCAGCTGCAATAGAAATGTTTTGTTTTCTAACAGCTCATGTATTTCTTTAAGATTTATCTGTTAAAAAAATAAATAAGATATTAAGAACGTGTCATTTTTCAATGCATAAATAAAGGAAGGAAACATTGAATTTTTGAAACATGCGTGTTTAGGAACTTGAATAGCTGAAACGAAGAATGTGCATACCTTTTCAGGGTTCTCAACGATTTCTGTTGCAGTGAAACCCAATATCTTTTCTGCGATGCTACCGAAAATGCTAGCTTGGATTGATCCGCTCTCGTCATGAATGTTAGCTCTTAGACGACACCTAGAATGACAATAGTAAGATTTAGGAGTATTTCGAAATCATCTAATCGGCTAAAATATCACATATAATATTTCTAAATTTCCATATGTTTCAGAGTTGTATCTCAAGAAATTGAAATTGATATACTTTGGGTTGGTTGCAGATTGCTTTAATGACCACTTGATGCATTTGAAATCTTGTTGATAGATTGCTGATGTTCCAGTGCCGCATTCCTTGCAAGCCATGTAGTAGAACGGTTGTGGTATGTCTCTGAACTCAACGTGCACTTTGACTAAGATATCCTAATTTTTTTTGGCAAAATTTAAAGTTTAGTTAATTTGAATGAAGAAATATAAGAAGAACTAATACACGTTGAATAAAAAGTATTAGGAACCAAGCGTGTTAACCTGTTGTTCATCATCGATATGTGTGACTGGAGTGATTTGTGAAAGGTTTTTGTGACTGATGCCAGGAGTAGACGAGAATGATGGTTTATTCTGCAAGAAAAGATCGATTTCCTTCTTGTTTTATTGTGACCTGAAAAAGTTAAAAAGGTAATTAATATGCTGAAAAATTTTATAAAAGTTGGTGTAGAAAAATAAAAATATATACCAGTTCCTCAATTTTCTTGCTTTGTCAGAAGGAGGATTGATTGAAACCAGCGATCTATGTGAAATTGTTACCTCAATTCCTTATTAATATGAGAATTAAATTATCAGAGAACAAGTGTGCAGAAAAAGTATGGTTGAGGAGTTTGCTTTAAAAAGGGCTTATTAGTGTACCGTTGTATGGAGAGATAAGCATTCAGCGGCAAACAACGGTTGGGTAACTCTTAGCTTGAACTTGTTCAGTTAATAATATTCCAACATCCTGGTGAAATTCTTCCCAAAGTGACAATCTCACATATTGCAACTTGATTGAGAAGACAGTACCGAAATTAAGTGTTAGCTACTTTACCAAAATATCATGATTAAATTCCGTAAACTAAAACAAAGAGGTGTATTCCGAATTAAATATCTCGCATACCTTTTGCTACCGTTTCAGAAAACGAGATGCAACATACAAGTGTAACAATAGTACATGAAAACAATCACAAAAGGACAACAATAATCAGATTATCAAAATGGAAAGCAGCTCATAAAACTACAGGAGTATCATCCTTGTAATTCTGATGGGAACTTCACAGAAAATAAATTTGGCATTTCGAAAAAGCATTGTATAAATAATTCGAAAACCATTATATTGAACTTACTCTTCATTTAGCTTACAGAACTTTTGGACCATTCTTTTTTTTCCCTTTTCCTATCGTAACAGTTTGCAGGTGGCTTCTGTCGACTATGACACTAGTAACATCTGTAAGAAAAAAGTTGTTTAAAAGAATATAGATCAACATAAGTTTTCTATTTGATAAGAATGTTTAAGTGAAACAAATACACTTTCCAACAAAACCATCTTGAACACCAGCAAAATCATTAAGAGAATCAAAGGGCGTGTATTGCCCATTGGTCACAAAAGTAGTAATAGGTTCATTAACCTCTTCAACATCTGTCCCAATACCAATGACCCATTGTTGGAAAGACCAGGAGACCTATACTTTGGTTTAATGTACCGGATAGGTGTGTTAGAGACTCGGTATTTTTTACACATCTGGAATCGTGGTCCCATGATGCTGACGGCCTGTCCGAACATAATACCTTCTACTTTAGCACCCTACAATAATAAATCAAATATTATATTATGAATATGTGAGATGAAAATTAGTATGACACTAACAAATATAGATAATGTAATTCACCTTTTCATCGCTGAATACCATCTTTTGGGTTTTGTTGTAGTGGCCGAATGGATTTTACTTCTCCTCAACAGTGATAATGGCAGTCCAAGGCTGATCAGAGTCGTTGAGCTTGTCAATTTCAACCTTGTTCGCAATCATCTTTGGTGCACAAGGAGCCATTCTAAAAAAATTTGCAGGAAGGAAAAAAAAATAGGTATGAATAATAAGCAAGAATTTTTGGGATGCCGTAATTGGAAATCTGATTGGGATGCCATTCTATTTGTGAGGGTTGTTGTTGTATTTATAGAGCGGATGCCATCGTGGTGTTTGTAATCTGATTGGGATTCACAAATTAGGGGACGAATAAAAATTGGAAATTTTACCTATTTTTTGGGTGATTTTCTACCGTAATTGAATTTGTAATTCGATTGGGATTGTAAAAGATGGGGACGAATCTGAATTGGAAATTTTTCTTTTTTTTTTTGTCTGATTTCCTAATCCAATTTGAAGAAGAAGAACGGAAATTGTTGCTTGGAGGCCCAAATTAACTACGCAGCCCAATGTCATGTTCAGAGTATTGGTAGGAATGCCGTCGGCGGTGCGATAGTTTTGATGGATAAGCTGCCGCTGGAAATGGAGAAGCGGAGAGTCAGATTCTGCCGAAAATGTAGAGGATGATCTATTAGACTGAAGGGACCGAAGGAAGAAGCGGCGAAGGAAGAATTTTTTTAATGGAGGGTGGCGGAGGGAGAAGGTGGGTGACGGAGGGAGTAGCGGCAAAAGGGGTTGTTAAAAATGTTGAGTGCGACGGAAGGCAGGACGGGGTCGTTTGTTTTTTTTGCATTTGGGTTTTTTTTATTTGCGTTTGGGGTTTTTTTTTGTAATAATTCAGTACATTACGGATTATAAATTATTTGGATGGTTTAAATGCGTAATTTGACAATTTTAACCCTAATAAGTCGCTGACATCATATCAACCCAATCCGACGGACAAGATCGATTTGATGGTGGTCCTTGAATATTTCTTAGGCATTATTTCTTGGTTACTGTGCCTTTTATTTAAGTATAAGGAAGAAACTAAATACAATATTTTAAGTTTGCAACAAAATAATTTTTAACCGTGTATGACAATCTATATTTAGCAATCGCATAGTTAGTTTACCACCATTTTTCCTAGACTATCACGAAGAATTGCATTTTATATATATATATATATATATATATATATATATAATATAGACAAATCCTAATCTTCATAGTATAATAATTTATATAAAATAAAATTTTATTTCGTTGAACTACATATGCTTGTAATGTATTTCGGTGAAACAATGGCATTATTTCATTTAATTTGTGGAAGCATTATCCATTTATTTGTTTATTGTTTGAATAATTAGATGAATAATTAGCATAAAAGTTTGTTTTCATATTCTTTTTAAAAAATTTTGAACCCTCCAAACTTAAAAATTGAACATAGACAATACTTTTTACTTATATAATTCCATGTAGAAAATAAGATATCTTCTAGTACGTAGTAAATGCGTTAGGCTAATTTGTTGCGCAATTAGCGTAGACAAACTATAAAATTAACCATGTAGAACTTGCAGAAATACCACACACGCCTTGCGAAAAAATCAAGGTTTGAAAGTTAGTTTTTATCCAAAATAGAGTAGTAGACTATGAATCGAGGATTGAAATATTCGGTCCCGTCACAATGTAACATAAGACTTTATAAATATCATTTATTCCTCTAACACGAAATGATATTGTAAATTTAAACTGAATAATCATTTTGACATAAATAGAATATTACTTTTGGTCTTAGTACATTTCTTATAGGTTTAATATGCCTTTATTTATTTATTATTATTTATTACTTGTTCTTAATAAAATAATATCTGAGCTCTAATGAATATAAGACCTACGTTTGATCTTTTCTAGTCCATTTTTTAATCACTTTTGTTAGTTTCTGTATTTACTTATTACGTCGTAAATTTATGATTAATTGATTAATATCCATAACTAACCGATATATATGCTACTACGATTTTAAAGGAAGAAAATAAAAGAGGTAGTGTTTGAATGTGATTATTAAAACCTCTTGTACAAAATTAGATTTCCAAATTTAACTCGAGTTTATTTATTAGCTGAGCTGTACAAAGCCCATAAAAGAAAAGGGGACAAAAGTTTGCCAACTGGACTTACTGTCAAGATCCAGTAAGTTGACCCCACACGCTCAATTTTTGCCTATAAATTTTCACACACACACACACTGAGAAAGAAACACAGCAGTCAAAAAACATTACTACTACACAGAAGAAGAGAGAAAGGCGCCATAAGTTCTCCTCTTCTTTCCAAAGTGTTTTTTTTTGAAAAAACAAAACAGAGTATACACAGAATCGTCCTCTTCCTCTTCTTCTTCCTTCCTATTTATTTGGTGTAGAGACGAGAAAAAATAGGAGAGAATTTAATTTTTCAAAAAATGAAAAATACAGGATTAGGAGCTGGAAATAATCAGAGAAAATTTTGAAAAAAAAGGGAGGAAGAAAAGAAGGAATAATTTGTACCATCTTTTTACCTCTTTCTTCTTTTCTTTTCTTTTCCTTTTTTCACCCCCTCTTTTTCCTTCTACCCATTTTCATCCGGCGGCATTTTTGCCTGCCGGAAAAAAATTATATTCCTCCCCAACCTACTCCGTCCGACGGATCCACCACATTGACGTTCTTTCTTCTTTTTCTTCTTCGTAATCTTTAAAGGTTGGTTTCTTTTCTTTCTTTATTTTGCATGTATGAATTCCCTGGAATTGCAATATGGCATGCATTGTTCATGAACCCGTGTAGAGAATTTATGACAGGGCATTAGGGGGAACCCATAACCCGGATGTAAAATATGGTGATTTGACAGTTTTGATTGTGTTTTATGCCATTGCATAGCAGAGTTTTTGGTTTTTTTTTCTGGGTCGGGTTTGTTCATGTTCGTTTTGTTGCCGTATCCCCTGAGAGTTTTGTGAAGGGATTTTGTCATGTGTGGTTAATGATTGCATATCGAACCCGATTCAACCGTGTAAATAAATTCTATGTGCTGGTTTATGTGACTTTTGTCCTTTGGGGATTATTAAAATAAGCTTTCTCGGAACTCATGTTTTTTCCGGGAAAATGTTTCACAGTCAATCATGTGTTTCTTTTTCTTTTTAATCTTTTCTGGTTTTTGTAATAAGATAATATGAGGTCTCTTTATATTTTTTGTCATTGATAATTCACGTGTAAGGTTTGCTCTGAATGTTCGATTATAAAAAAATAAATGATCCTCTGCTTGTTGCATTCGGGGATGTATCTGATTGTTTTGGTAATTTTTAGGATAGAAACCCATGTTATCGCCGAATGGGGCTTCGTAATGTTTCTTGAAAGTTATAAAAAATTGTCTCATCTGTTGTTTCTAATGTTTTTCTTCTGGGACAATATGATCAATTTGCTTGGTTTAGTTTATTAGTTAAATGATCTTTTTGGGGTAAATTTGTTAGTTTCTGTTTATGTAAATTCTTGCTTCCAAATTTTTTTTTTTTAATAGAAATTTGACTTTCATTGTTACCGGTACTTGCAGCTTCAGCAATGGAGCAACTTAGGAATCCTTTTAAGGGGATAAAAAATGATTTTAAAGGAAGGTTGTTGTGCTACAAAAAGGATTGGCTTGATACATGTGGTTCTGGAGTAAGGTATAGTCATTTTTTTTTTTTGGAAAGGAGGTATAGTCATTTTGTGTTAAGGACCTTGGCATTACAAATGCAGAGATGGAATTCATGTTGCAATGCCGTTGATGGTTACTTTTTATTGTTGCTCATTTCCAGGATACTTGCTCCTACTGCATATATATTCTTTGCATCGGCTCTTCCAGTCATTGCTTTCGGAGAGCAATTGAGTAGGGAAACTGGTAAGCACTAATTTTCCGTCCATGTCTCTAGTTGCTTATCACTCTGAAGCAGAGAAAATTTGAGAATAAGAGAATTTGCTTCTAAACTAAACCTACTCTGTTTGTTTAATCATAGATGGAAGCTTGAGCACGGTCGAAACTCTCACTTCCACTGCTATATGTGGAATCATCCACTCAATTTTAGGTGGACAGCCTCTGTTAATATTAGGAGTTGCAGAACCTACAATTATCATGTACACTTATTTGTACAACTTCACCAAGGATAGGCCTAATATGGGGAGGGAGCTATTTCTGCCTTGGGCTGCTTGGTACTACTGAACGGCTTTCCTATTCCACATCCAGATTTCTTCAAAGTTTGGGCTGTAATGTAACATAACTTATATTTTATGCAGGGTCTGTGTTTGGACTGCTCTCCTGCTGTTTCTTCTTGCTATATTCAATGCTTGCACAATCATCTCTAGATTTACAAGGGTTGCTGGGGAACTTTTTGGCATGCTTATTACCGTCCTTTTCTTTCAAGAGGCTATTAAGGTATATCTGCAAGTGATGTAATTTAGTAGCTATCCACATTGATACTTTATACAGTGAAATTCAATTGAACTTGCATAGTCATCACTTTATTGGTATGGCAGGGGTTGGTGAGTGAATTTTCAATTCCCAAAGGTGAAAACTCAACGTCAGATGTTTATCAATTCCAATGGCTATATACAAATGGTTTGTTAGCTGTCATCTTCTCATTTGGTCTACTGCTTACTGCCATTAAAAGCAGAAGAGCTAGATCTTGGCGTTACGGGACAGGTGTGTTGTAAAGGTTTCTTCTTACGTTTGCAGTCTGAACATTTTTTTTCTCCCCTCTTTTTACCCTTGTTTTTTGTTACCGTGGACAGGCTGGCTACGAAGTTTTATAGCCGACTATGGGGTTCCCCTCATGATTTTGCTATGGACTGCATTATCTTACGGTGTACCCAAGAATGTTCCTTCTGGAGTACCAAGGAGGCTATTCTCTCCTCTTCCTTGGGATCCTCAATCGTTGCACCACTGGAGTGTGATGAAGGTACACTTTACCTGTGATCAGTTTCATGCTTATAAAGATTGTGACGATATCTCCACATTCTGTTTTACAATTCTTGCTGATTTAATTGTAATTATCATAAATTTTAGAAAATAGTAAATGAATGCCTTTTGATGAATTCAGGAGATACTTAACGTAAACTACTTATGTATGGGATTATCTCTTGTGTTTTTACCTCTGTTATGAAATGTTTCAATGTATCACTTCCATTCTGGGAAGGAAGTTTTGTATCCTGGAATTTTATAAAATAATATTATGAGATGGCTTTGAGAAAAGATAAAACAGCCTTTTGTATTTAGCTGACTGAACCTTCTAAGAAATCCTGATTTGGATGTTTAGTTTCTTGTATACATTTCACTATAAAAGTCAACCAATTCACTAGTTTATTTTTTTACTAAATTGTACAGAATTTGCTCAGTAATTAAGATTAGAAGAGCATATCTCACACATTGTTAATAAACTATGTGCAGGATATGGCAAAGGTTCCTGTGGGATACATCTTTGCTGCCTTCATACCAGCTATAATGATAGCAGGGCTATACTTTTTTGACCACAGTGTTGCTTCACAGATGGCTCAGCAGAAGGAATTCAATCTTCAAAATCCATCAGCCTATCATTATGATATCTTGTTGCTGGGCTTCATGGTAAATGTTTTTGATTTAGGCTTTTTCATCACTTCATGCTATACTGCTTAGGTGGTTTTATTTTTTTTGGGATAATATTTATGCATGGTTTATTCACTCCAGTTGCCGTTTATCAGGCTATCTTATATCTTTAAACTTCTGCTTTCAGACATTGCTTTGTGGTTTGCTTGGACTTCCTCCTTCAAATGGGGTCCTTCCCCAGTCACCCATGCATACGCGGAGCCTTGCAGTCCTCAAGAGGCAGGTGGGCTATCTATTTCTTAAAAGAGCCTCTGAATTCATTCGGAGGAGAAAATCTGCTTCTACATGTTGCACTATGATGAAAATAGAAATTTTATTGTCTAACATGATTTATGATGGGCTTGCAGTTGATTCGTAAGAAGATGGTAAAGAGTGCAAGAGAATGCATAAAGCAACAAGCAAGCCATTCAGAAATTTATGGAAAGATGCATGCGGTTTTTGTTGAGATGGAGCCTTCTCCTACAGTAAGTTCTCTGACAAATATTTATACCTCTGTTGACCATTTATTCTTCTAGTTCAACTGTACTTATGATGATTTTCTTTAAAAAAAATTAAATTGCAGACTGGCGTGGACAAAGAATTGAAGAACCTAAAAGAAGCAGTATTGAAATATCAAGATGGTGATGCAAATGGGAGGTTTGATCCTGAAAAATGCATCGACGATCACTTGCCTGTCCGAGTTAATGAGCAAAGGATGAGCAATTTGCTGCAGTCAATATTAGTTGGACTCTCTGTATGTGCTATGCCACTGATCAGGATGATTCCAACCTCAGTTCTCTGGGGATATTTTGCTTACATGGCCATGGATAGTCTTCCTGGGAGCCAGTTCTGGGAGAGGTTGCTGTTGCTTTTAATTCCTCGAAGTCGACGCTTCAAGTAAGTGATGTTAATGCTGTAAAGTAGTAGATGTTAACACTGGATTTTTGTCCGTTTTGCTAGTATCTCAGGCTATAGTAGCAGCAAACCACCTGAAGTATGAAATTGCTGATGCAAAGTGTCTACAGAGATTAAATAAAATTGCTTGTATCTATATATTCATTTGCAGCCTATAATTCTTACCTGTACAATCTAGCTCCACAAGAACTTCGAAGAGTTCCCTTCCGTTTTCATTGACTGATGTTGGTTGCCTTGTCCAGGATCTTGGAAGGAGCACATATTTCATTTGTGGAGTCTGTACCGTTCAGATACATTGCAGCATTCACACTCTTCCAGTTCATTTACCTATTGATTTGCTTCGGGATAACATGGATACCGATTGCTGGGATACTGTTTCCTCTACCATTCTTCCTTCTTATAGGTATAAGAGAACATATTCTCCCCAAGCTTTTCCCACCTCATCATCTTCAAGAATTGGATGCAGCAGACTATGAAGAAATTGCTGGACATTCAAGCCAGAGAAGGAACCTTTCTTTTAGAGTATGTATTTTCATCTTCCTATAATTTGCTGAAATTCCGTTATATGTATCCTTTTTATGGAATAGGTGTCCAAAAGGCTCATCTTTTCTTTCCCTTTTCCTATTAATCTTTATAAATACCCTAGTGTTGAACTCTAGTGATTTGTTTTTTGCATTGAGAAACACAGGTGATGCATGACTAATTTGGCTGATGGGCATAATATTTGTGTTGAATGTCATGATTTTGGAATGTCTAAAATGAATACAAATATTTTCCTCGAAAACACTTCAAGGTCTTAGTGGTACGTCAAGATGTTGTTATAAGTGTGCGTAGATTGCTCCCATCCAAATTCAGAATGCACAAAACGGAGATATTGGACAGGAGTTACTTGTGCTATAATATGATTCAGGGAGTTGCATTGTGTGTCTTTTAATTTGTTTGCTGTGAGGGAACATTGTGCCCAATGTTTTATGACAAAGAACAGCTCATGTTTGATTACATTCTTTATTCGTTAATCTTTTCTTGTTCCAGAATGTTGCTTACTAAGACTTAATTTACAGGATACTGAATTATGTGACCCTGAGATGGAAGATGAGAGTGGTTTTGATCTATCTTCTGCTGAGATATTGGATGAGATGACGACTCACAGAGGCGAGCTGAAGCACAGGTCTGTAAGCTTCAACGAAAGGCAGTATCAGGTTGGTTGCTCTCCTAACTCTTTACCGCAAGTTTGTGTCTGGTTTATCTGTTCCGAGGTAACCAACCATTTTCGGCACTTAAACTGATTACAGGTTTTTCCAGAAGGTACTAGCTAAGAGCTAACAGCCCAAATGCTGACATTAATCCTTGTGATTTCCCAAGCAAGCACTTTGGAGAAATAGTTTTGTCAATGTAACCTGATTGACTATAGGGAGATCAAATACAACCATCTGACTACATATAAAAGAAGAAGATAAAGAAGAAAGCAGAAGGCGGCAAAGGTGAAGGAGAAGGAGAAAGGAAACTTTCAATGAACACTTTTTCAAATTTTTTCCTGCGGTAGAAGCCATGGCAAAACTTGTTGAAGCACTGCCTATCATGCTAAAAAAAAAAACACAAATACATTGATGTTGACCTGCCAAGCACTGGAGTCTGTGGAAAGGGAATTCGAATCGATGAAGTGAAGAGCTATGAAAACGAGTTCGGCCTCAGAACATAAAATACTGTGGTTTTGAATGCTGAGTGATGTGTTGAAAGCAGCAGTTCATGCATAAAGCAGTTAGCTTTGAGGTATGGCCTGTTTTGCGATTCAGAAAACTGTTGTAGAGAGGTAGAAATTTCTGGGAAATGTCAGTGTGCTTTTTGGGATGTTGTTTTGGCTTGATGATAGTATAGAAAGTACTAACCACATAGTTAGGCAATCAAATCTGAATGCTGGTGTACTTCGGAGATTTCGGATTCTCTATGAACTCTTTTAAAAGAACTCATCAACCTTGGTGTTTTTATCACTGCACCAAGGCATCATCGGCAAATTAAGCAGCTGTTTTTACAGTGCATCTGCGCGGTTCAACTGCCACAGTTGTGATCTGTCCACATTTTATCCTATGAAAATTGTTTCTTCCCTTATAAGATTGAAACAATATTAATGGAGCAATGACACACACAATAACAATTCATAGTGAAATAGAATAGTAACGAATAGTAACAAATGAGAAGACAAAAAAAATATTATACCATCCCCTTAATAACTATCAACAAAATAGGGGGTGATTATGCATCTATACACTTATCACATCATTAATTCCTCATTAATTTGTTCCACAAAGCATCTCATGCTCAATTCCTCATTTTTCTTTGCGTCAGTGAAGGGTGAGTTTTTAACCAAATTATTCCATCTCGCCCAATCAGCTTCGTAATGAGATTCGCGATCCATTTTCAGTGGCTTTCACTATGAATCCATCGTAGTTAGTTTCTTGGTGGCTTTCTCACCAAATCTTTCTTTTGAGTTTTGACATAATGATCAATTGGTATGTTTGCTTCACTTAAAAATGAGGACATAAAGAGGCACATGGAGAGAGGCTTTACTAATGTACTTCTCATTCATAATGCCTTAATTTACAAGAGATAGTTTTACAATGCATAGATGAATGTAAACATTTTTTTTTAATTTACACTTTTGTACAAGAGATAGTTTTTTTTTAGAATGTGAACACTTTAACTTCAAAATTCAAATAAGGGTTATAATAATTGATTCTAAATTTTAAAAGCAAAATATTTACACTCAATCAAATCTCAATCGACTCTGGTAATTATTATTTAGCAAGTCTTATTTTGGTGATTTCGACACTCATCAAATACTCAAATTTGTAAAATTGTCTTAAAGTTTAGTTAGCATACATTCTAACTAAAATAGTACTATCACTCAAGATTTTTTTGTGATAAATCGTCAAGTTGGCCATAAATGATATTCATGCACTAACTCGAGGGCAGTGGGGGGTTTTTTGTAAATTTAAAAATAGAATTTAAAAATATCTAAAACTTAACATGATTTCATGTCTTGACCCGTAAAATAATATGAAACATGTTATACATGTAATTTATAGTTTTATAATACTCCATGAGATCTCTCCAATGGAGCTCCGTATTAAATATTTTTAAAAATTTTTATAATTATGATTTTATAGTCTTGATTTTTTTTTATTGATCTACCATATAATTTTGATGTGTCTATCATATAAAAATTTTTTATTTGCTAAGTTTTCTTGATGTATCTATCATTTAGTGATGCAAGATATTGCTGTAACTTTATAAAATCATTACAGGAATTTTGAAATTATATTGAGTGAATTTAGAAAATAATGAGCTTCAAAATCATATTGCTGGAACTTTACAAATCTATCCATGAATTTGAGAATTATATTGAAGGAACTTCAAAAATAATCACATGGACTTCAAAACTGTGTTGCCGGAAGTTCGATAAAAATACTATAGAAACTTTGAACTTATATTGGATAAATTTTAAAAATAACAACAGGAACTTCAAAACTACATATTGCTTTAATTTCAATAGACCACTAGAGGACCTTTGAAATTATGTTATGGAGGTTGAGAAATAGGAGAAAAATTGATGTAGTTAATAAATTTAGTTACGGACTAAAGTGCAAATACTAGGAAGATATTTGAGGGAGAGAGAAAAAATGGGATTAGATATACAAAAAATAGGAGGGGATGTCCTCCTCACTTTCCCTTTTTCCATTGTTAATTAACAATGGTTTTACTAATAATCCCCTAAATTTTAATAGACTCCCATCATGTATGGAAAATCAGTACTTTACAGTTAATTCTTCCTGAATAATATTTTTTAATTCTGGTTGACAATCTTTTGTTTTATTTTAAGGAGAAAAGATCTTAAAAAATACTAATAATTTATAGATTATTTTTATGTGGTACCTTCCATATTACAGTGAACCATTCAAAAATATATCTTTGTTATAGTATATAAAAATGTAATAATACTTATTTTTCGGGACACTGAAAATTTGACTGTAAATTTCTTATCTAATCAAGAAAATCTCTTGCACCTCTATTTCAGAACTCCGATGAATTGATTTATCCCTACTTTCCTCACGAAAATCATGTGATTTTCGTGGGGAAAGTGATGATTTAGATCAAAACGTCACTCTTGTCAAATTTTCGACAAATTCATTTGATGTAAATATTAAATCGCATTTGACCTCTACTACACCTCAAAATTATTGTTCTTTCTTTGTGTCAAAAATTTTCCTTTTTCTAATTAAAATTTTTTCAGTTACATAAGTATTGATTTTTATCATGTAACTTTCTTGAAGAGTAATTACCGTGACGTTGGGAATTAAATCAATGGTAATTCCTGAATAATTGCATTAAAAAATTGGAGAAAATCAGGAAAAGAATGAGGAGAAGAACAATAAAGGAAGGAGGGAATTCTCCGTTTATTCGATAACAATTAAGCTAATTAACAAAAATATAATGATTAACACAACTTTGGCATGTGTTGGGCTTTGTTATTACTAATTATTACTAATAATAAAGCTCTTAAAATACTATTGGATCACAGCAACATTCTTTGGTTTGGCTCTTGTGCGGAGGAACAATGCATGAACCGCCTTTGAATTTTTGACCTCCAATTGTTATTTTCTTACAGTCTTCTTGGCATTGAGCATCTTGGCGGTGTGGAACATCACAGTACCATATGCACCACTGGTCAGCTGCATCCAAGAATTAATTATTAATAATTATAAATTAGAATAACTTTAAAAAAAAAAGATTTTAGCAATTCGTTCAATAATACAACTTTTTAAAATGAAAACATCGTCACAAGAAATATTTCTTCCGTCCGCTAAAAATAGTTTGCTCAGTTTTAAATTTTTCTAAGATTATATATAAAAAAATTGTTACGATTTGGGACAAAGGACTTACTTTGAGCATGAATAGTTGAGGGAATGAAAGCAGCGATTGCAAGAAAAAGAACCAGAAAGCAGCATTTGGAAAGCCCCATTTTCAGTGCACTGTGAATGATTTTTGAGATTTTGATGACAAATGACTGCAAAAGATGTGGAATTCATGCTAAGGAATACTTGTTTATATAGGGTTGCGACCTTTAATTTTCATATAATTGGAGGAAGTAAACTTAGTAAAAAAATTAAATTTTAGTAATTAATTGATGAGATTTTCTTACCCAAATGTTGGTGACTAATATGTCTTAAATTTATTACCATTTTTTTTTAAAGAAAAAGCAACAATTGATGTAATGAGATCATCATTTTATTAAATGCTACGCATATTCTTTTTCAAATTATACTGTTAGTTTTTTTTTTCAATGATTCGTGACCTAAAAAAAACTATCTCCTACCTATGGTAAAATATTTTCCGTAGCTCACATAATAGTTTTCCATTCTTGGTGTTCATCAAAAAACTTTGCTCCAGTTCGTAAGAAATTGAGTCTAAACGTCTGTCGCTACTGGTTTCCAACTCTTAAATCAATTCTTCTGTGTCTCATTTTCACCCACAAAAAAAAGGAAGAAGAAAAAGGATCATTTTCACATAACTTCATTTTGTTGTTGTTTCACTTGAAAGTATCTCTATATAAGTCACAAAAACAAATGATTCACTTTGTCATAATATTCTATTCTTTAAAAAAATGGACTCTTTTTTTTTATCATCCAAAAAAATAATTTTTTTAAAAAAATATTATCGATTGCGAGATAAAAGAATGCATGAGTAAAAAAATTAAGGGCAAATGATACATTTTAAAATGAAAAAGAACACCAATGAGGGGACAGCTTGGTGGTAAAGTTCTGACATCCAACCACGAGGACGCGAGTTCAAAACCTCCTTTGGTATTACGTAAGAAAGTTGTATTATGCTTGTCTTTGGCTTTTGGTTTCAAAAAGTGAGGGAGAGATGAGGGGAGAAAAACCATATTAGTGAGAATATTCATAATGATTTACACTAATTTCCAAAGGTGAGGAAGAGATTAGGGGTTAAAGAGAAAGAAATCATCTTAGTAAGAGCTTCGCAAGGGTGAGGAAGAGATTAGGAGTTAAAGAGAATGAATGGTTTTTGGTTTCAAAAGGTGAGGAAGAGATGAGAGGTTGATGAGAAAAAAACCATGTTAGTGAGGGTATCCTTTTTGAGGGAGAGATGAGGGGAGAAACCAGGTTATTTATAATGGTTTACACTACTTTCCAAAGGTGAGGAAGAGATTAGGAATTAAAGAGAAAGAAATCATCTTAATAAGAGTTTCGCAAGGCGAGGAAGAGATTAGGAGTTGAAAAAAATGAAATTATGGTTTTTGGTTTCAAAAGTGAGGAAGAGATGAGAGGTTGAAGAGAAAAAAAAAAAACTATGTTAGTGAGAATATCCACAATGGTTACTACTTTCAAAAGGTAAGGAGGAGATTAAGGGTTAAAAAATGGAAACCATCCAAGTAAGAATTTCAAAAGGTGAGAAAGAGATTAGAGTTGAAGAGAGAGAAACCGTGTTAATAAGAGTATTCACAATGATTTACACTATTTTGGGTATGAAAATTTACTCTTTAGAGCAAGTGTATCCTTATTTTTTAGTGTACCAACGCACCCATTATACTGAAAAATATCATGGCCTCTCTAATTTTATGGTAACTTTTCCAGTAAAATTATAATCTTGCCGTATTTATGTATCTGGCTGCACAATCTTACGTGGTATAGTAGCTGTATGAAAGATTTTGTCCTCCGAATATAATGAGATATAATAAAAAGCCATGATTTATGGCTTGCCGGCTTTTAGATTATAAACCATATGAATGGTCTATGTATGGATGGTCTACTCCACCTCTATTTTGTCAATAGCAGTTAGTCATTTCCCCTAATAAACTTTTTTTAGAAAAAAAAAAAAAAAAAGCAAAGTAGATTTTTCCTTAAAATTCTATATTTTCTCCTTTTGAGACTTTTTTGGCGCACACCTAAAATTTTGTACTCCCCTGTTTTAATTTTAGACGGCACAATTTACAATTAGTTTCTCATGAATATGATCGTAAGGTGTATGAAATCAATAATACCTCAAAACATTTCTACGTAGTACATGCTACCAAAAATGTAGTAGAAGAAAGTTACAAGGATACAGGAAAACAAAATTACTTTTCAAAGCCTTTTCGCCTTTTCTGTTGATCATCCAGCAGAGCTATCCCATCAACATGCAACTTGCTTCATCTCTGCCAAACAAAAATCCACAGAACAAAGCAACGAGCTCTGGCCATTCATACAAATCACAAATCTTGCATCAGTGATATATCATCTCTGTTTCGCAAGCTACCGGCTGGAAATAAACGCAGCGTATCATGTAGTTAGAACCCTAAAAAATTTCAGAGTTAAGAACTCCATTGCACCTGGACTGGAGAGACAATGGCAATCCAAAAATGTCCGAACGAATGATATTTGTTAGTTTAGGCTTGTATCTTAGTCATTTGCTCTGCAACTCATGAGCTTTGCGACGTCTCAAGTTCGATACCAGCAAGAATAAGATGATCCCCATCTCTAACCACTGCTGTGTCTTCAATTAGAGCTCCATCTTTGGTGAGAACTTTGGATGCGCGAATTCCAAATTTTAGTGCGCCGACATCAAGTAGCTCGTCAATCGAATCCGGAAGGAAGACAAGTCTGCTAGAGTCATCACTGCTATCAGGACAACTAATGGTCACTCTAGCCTGTTTTCCAGACTTTGTGAAACTCATTGGAGACTGTGCAACACTGCTGTCTCCTGCACAAGTTTTTTGGGTTTTCTTTGTTGTTAATAAAAAGGCACCAGCAATAAAGAGTGGCACATACGCCATGCATGCCAAATAAAATGAAACCATACAATATATTTCCTATAGAATGCTTCCAAAATCATATATGTCATAAAAAGATTAATTACATGAAGTGAATTAGTTTTCCCCCTATTTTTTTCCTCCACTTTTACAAATCATAATGTCATATATCGGAAGATTATCTTTGTTCTTATGTGATGAATAATCTAAGATATATCTACATGAACTGTCTAATTAGGAATTCTTCTTCTGAACAACAGAAATTTCGAGGTGTTTTCCTGAACCTCAACTACTTTCTCAATCTAAATGAAAGAGCAATTATTTTCCAATTAATAACAAGCCAATCTTAAAAATGTACCATGACAGATTACCTGTATTAGGCCTCTTCGCAGCTGACATTATCCCAAACAAGGAGTTGTGATAGTTACTTGGCCTTCGTCTCAAGCGGGTAGGTGATGGATCAGCCTCCATAAAGCTCACTGTCACTTCTTGGTTTGCAGGAGGAATGGTTGGCTCGCTCTGGTACTTTTTAAGTTGAGGTAAACCCTGCATCTCAGGTACAGGCAGCACTGGTCGATCATTCGATTTATTAGCAGTTTGCAATAGAGACATTATCTCATTGTTTCCTTGATGATCAGCCAATGCTCTTGGTGTCCAATTGTGCGCATCTGGCTTGTCAACATCGGCTCCTTGTTCTATAAGAAACTTTACTATTTCAGCATTCTCTTCGGACACAGCCCTGTGTAATGCTGTAGTACCTGAACCAGAGAGGAGGGTGACATCTCCACCATATCTAACTATGTCTCTGAGCAAATCTAGATTGTTTTGCTCAACGGCATAGCATGCCAATGCTCCAACATCACCAAAGGACAGTTTTGCACCATTGTTCCGCAATAATTGTATCACTGCTTCATGCTTACCCAACATGGCATCCCATAGAGGAACACGCCCTTCAGAATCTGCACAAAGGAGAGACATTGGATGAACTTACAGTGAATGGGCAAAAGAATTCCCTCCACTCCATGCAAGTTAATGTCCTCATCAACATATGCTTCATAACTTGACAGGCAAAACAATCAACTACCAGTGCTATCCCTTTCCATAAAATTTCCAAGAAAAAACTCATGTGTAGTAAATAACCAGCAAAGCCATCCACGCGGAAGCATCACTTATAGCATGTGTCATGGTCTTGATAAAGTTTTTTAATAAAACCTTTTTAATAAAACCATAATCGTGATTGATCATGAAACATGATAATGAGGGAGTAATATTATTATATAGAAATGTTTCTACCAAATTTTACCAAAGACCAAAGGCTAGTATTTACATATTAAACTTAGAACAGCTTTCCCCATAAGTGAAATGACCAACTTATTAATGAACTACTGAGAGTTTTAGCTTCATTTAGGCAGTAATTATCATTTGTAATCCTCTCTTTTTGGTGGAATAAAAACAGTTCCACTGCTGCATCCAAGGTCAGTTCCCGTTGCATGTTCCTTCCTAGAGCAAAGACATGTATTGTTTACAATATTTAAGTAATTCCAGCAACTATTATTTAACGCAAGCCATTGAATTCATGGAACATGACGTCAAACGAAAACTTCTAGGGTTCACGGAATTATCCTTTTCCAGTTTAGTGTATTATAAGCAGATAATTACCAGCAGAATTAGCCTTTTAAACAAAGATAAAAGATGAAAAATAATAGGCAAAAGTACATGCACCTCAATGTGGATAACATACCTTTTTTATTTGGATCAGCTCCATAATCCAGAAGTAATACAATACAATCAATACTACCGTTAAAGGCTGCAATATGCTGAATCACAAAAGTAAAAATCATGTCAATTCAAGATCTCAAATATCTATCTACACACACACACACATATATATATAGACACACATCCATGCATGCGTGTATTAGAAAAGGAAAAAAAAAATGCAACAGAAGATACAAACCATAGGTGTCCGTTTGTTGTTGTCCGATTCATTTGGATCCATCCCTCGTCTTAGCAATTGATTCAATAGAAGATCATCTCCTCTTGTTGCTGCAAAACATAAGCTAAGAGGCATATCCATTCTTCCTTGGGCAAGCAGTTCTTCTGTTTCTTCTAGAATTCCTTCGGTCAAGTCTTCCCTGGACTCTTTCAAATACTGCATAAGAAAAAGTAAATTGTAACAAGCTTTCAAGATTCCATAAACACAAATCAGGAGGTACAAAAAATTGGGTGCCAATTGATTAAACCCAATCCAATGCAACAACAAATTCACAATTACCTGATTTAAATCATTCTTCCTTTCCCTTTATACCACAGTTATCCTAGAATATTGGGTGATGTATTGATTGACCTAGGATTCTAACTTAGTCAATGAATATCAAGCAACGGAAGCATAAAAGGTATATTCTTCCCACTCGTATCAAGCCTGTTACTCCTATTTAAAGACACCAAAATCATGACATCATTTAAACTATATCGCTCATTACAAAACTCCAATTGTAGGCCACTTCCGAAGCAAGCAAAATACAAATGATTGTGTCAGTATCTATATGTAGTTCTATTATCATATCAATAATCAACGAAACCAACATCAGGGGAACAGTTCCTAAAATATTGGTCAGTTGAAGCTGCACATTACCTGAAGAAGATTGTTTATTATTACAGTTCCATCTCCAACATTCGCTTGAACAATGTTCAAAAAAGCCGTACGGTTCAATCTCAGCAGCTGACTCAGCCGTTTTGTTCGGACAGTGAAAGGTTGGGGCCTATAGCAAAGAACACCAATTTCACCACAAACGTCTCCTGTTTTCAACTCACGAACAACCTACAAAAATCATAAGAGGGATCATTCTTGTCGCCGACAAAAATTACGGCCATCTTCCACAAGCCCAAAAGTACATATGTAAGTATAACAAAATAATATGCCACCTAATGTACCTGTTCTGTTCCATTTTTGAGCAAGATAACTTCCTGTCACCAAGATTAAAATGTCAAGCTTGATTGATAGCCAACTAAGAAAGGAAAATCTAGGAAATATCAAAGTGTAAGAAAACATGCTTAAAGTAATACACAATATTATTTGAAATTTCAAAGGAAAAAAAAAAAAAAAAACCCCAAGGTTATGGACTCAGTTTTCAGCTTCAACACATTTCTTTGATACTAGTACATTAGGACACTGAAAACTTGTTGATTTGAAACAGCCTAGACGACTACAATATGCAAAACAGCATGAGAATTAACTGATCGATAACATGGTTTACCAAAAATAAAACAGGATCTGTTGAAGATAGCGAACCAGGTACATCTGCTGATGAACAACTAAAAAAGAAAAAAGTTTTTATTTTAAAAAAAAATCATAATTTACTAATTCAAACAGGAGAAACTTACGTCTCAACTAAAGCCCAATATATTTCTATTTGTATGTTTGTTGATATCATACTTCTCCTACCCTTACTTTTATGCAGTTTATTTTTTATCTGGAAATCTTTTGAAAGAAAAGAGGAGATGAGCTTCTTACCACTGCCCCGGTCACCAAAATATACAAGTCTGTAGGTGCTTCATTTTGCAAAATGACGTCTTCCCTTGGTGGAAAATATTCGGCTTTCATCTCGGAGACCTGGAGTCTCAAATGTCAGAACTAACACAGAAATCACCCAAGCACCAGTCCAGGTTAATCAAAAAGTTTATGTAGCTAAAGGGTGCAATCATAAACTTCCTGTTAAATGAAACTGGTTTCATCTTTAATCTTTGCCTTTTACTTTTCCTTTCACCAGTCTTCCCATCCAAATGATATTCATTCACAAGGGAAAGGGTATAATAATGAAATATAGAAGAAGTAAGGACGTTGGAAGTTATAAGATGAATAAACGTAACAAGAAAGTACAAACAAAACAAGGGAAAAAGCAAAAAGTTACCAGCTGGAAAAGCAGGTCATTTGATACTCCTTGGAACAAGTAAACTTTATCAACTAGTGAATAAAATAGGTAATGAGAGATGCTTGAATGAATTGCTTTTGGAAGCACGTCAAGAACTTCTTGTTGCTGCAGGCCTTCCGAATCTGTTCTGTATTTCAGGCAGAGGTGAGCAAGCATCTGATCTTGAAGACGAACAGGCAGCTGATTCCTGGCAGCAAAACTTGAAGCAGCTTGAATGGTATCTCTCTGTCAAACACAAATAAAACTTTAACAGGGCAGGTTTAGTTATCAAACATTTTTTTAATTTCAATGCCATTAAACAACCATGACAATGTATGTTAAGTGACTCCATTTACCCTTCTACCACCAAAAAAATAGCAAATGAATATAGGTAGGAAAAAATGGATTATGGTTGCATCCCTATAAGTGACAGGAAAATGAACTAAACCTCAAAAGAAAGCGTGACTGTCACTATCACCAAATGAAGTATGACTGGATGTCAAAAATGCATTGAGAAAATAAAAAATTTCATTTAAATGTCCACGAGAAATCAGATTGTTATTCCCCAAAGCAGCAAACGGAGAAGAATACTCACAAATTTCCTAGTTCTACTGGTTCCATGCACAACCAAGTTGGTCATGTTACCGATGATATATGCTGTGAGGCCCAGGTTGAACAACATGTAGAAAATGTCAAATATCTTCTCTTGTGTGTTAACTGCATGTAAATCACCATAGCCTGTAGTTGTAAGGGTGGTGATGGACCAGTACATTGAAGTCACATAGCGCACCCACAGACTTTGTTCAATAAAGTTTTCCATGACTAGGCCAATCCATGTATCTTTTGGGTCATGATATTTGGCAGCAAGAAGATAATTGAAGCAAGCAGCACAGTGAACTGCAAAGAGAGTCACCTAGAGACACATCAAACGATGAATAAGGTAAGCCATATCTGTTTAGGATTTATAAAAAAAATTAATAATAAAGAGAGAGAGAGAGAGAGAGAGAGAGAGAGAGAGAGAGAGAGAGAGAGAGAGAACAACTACTCATTTGTTAAACTACTTACACATATAAGCTTTGAACAACGAACCCAAAAATAACTGAATTTCCTGTCTTTCTCAAGCCTGTAGCGAAAAGGAGAATGTGTGAAGCAGGAAACATGTAATATTGCTTCTTTCTGCATTTAATTTCTTGGAGACTATCTCCTCATAGTCTACCCGAGAATGATGCCAAAGAAAATCTTCAAGTTACGTAATCTAGTCTATTTGCAAATCAACAGATAGTAAATAACTACAAAATGTTCCAAAACCAATTTTTCGCATGAGAAAAAAAAAAAAGTTTGTATGTAGTTCCTATAATATCAACCAGCATGTGTTAATAATACTGTATATATCTGAAGGTAGTGCATAAAACAAGACACAGGCTCCAGGACGTACCATCCCTGGTGAGGGGAGGACTATAGAGGAGCTTTCGCAACGAAGAGGGAGCTAAAAATAGCCCCATCATAGAGTATGAACTTCACTAGGTATGAGTCTAGCATAGCCATACAATTTAAATTCAACCATTTCATTATGGCAAATCTATCTTCTGTTCAGATGCGAACTCATTGTATTTGGTTCTTCACAATTTTTAATTTTCTTTTAAAAAAGAAACATTACAAGAAATCATGAACAACTGAAAGCTAATGTTCACTTTCTCAATGTACTTGGATCAGAGTTACTAATCACTTTCTGTTGGTTAGTATTGAGCATCTCCACAAGAGCATACAAAAGGCCATAGAGCTTTATCACTAATGTTCAAAAATTCAAATTAACGACAGATCAGACCACAATCAAATGGAGGTACGTTCTCAATTATTGTAAAGATGGACTGTGAAGTATCTCTGGTACATGGAAAGGAAATGATAGAGCTGACCTAGCAAAGAAGGCGCTAACTCTCCTAAGACGCCAGAGACGAAGCATATTGAAGAAGCCATATTCTTTAAGAGGTTTGGGTAAAATAGCCCTGGCTAATTCTGAAGGGATGGTGGATATCACGTCAAAAACTAACCATGTACTTGCATATCTCCAAGCAATCTGCCTTGGGTTGTCAATAAGAAGATAGGTGCTCTTATCAAGATACGCAACAAAAAATGTTAAAATGATGTCAATGGCGAAAAATCCATTAACGATATTGTCTGTAATGGAGAGCGGTTTTGAAGGTTTTTCTAGGAAGCCAAACTCAAATGGCGAGACCCATGCTGTATAGAACACCAAGAATACTAGGTATGTCTCCCAAACTCTGCAAAAGAATAAGAATAATAAATGAGTACATAAGATCAGCCATTGAATGTCAATTCATCAAGGGGATAAAAGTAAATCAATTAAAAAAAAAAAGGTTCTAATCTACTAAGATTCAATTATCTTCTTCAAAAAGAATGTTTCCTATCTAAACCTTACAAGGGATTTGCAAGTTCAACCTACTGTCCCATCCAAGTGAAAGACGATACATTACCAGCAAAACATGTGCAAGTTATGTAAGATGTCGAACATAAAGCGAAAATCAGCTTCTCTTTAGAAAGTTGCGAGATGCTATTGAACTGTAAATGGAGATATAGGCAGACACAATTGAGGAATTGAGGATTTTGTAGTTCCTTGCTTCATATCTTTAGTTCCAGTAAACGTATGTTAAAAACAAGTCTTCTATTTTCCTGAGCTATGTGATTGCCCCTCTTGCACCCTCACTGACATAATCCAGACACAGGTCCAAATGGTTTCACAACACCTATCTATATCCATGAGGTCTTATACATATTAGACACTAGTCAGGCAGTATGGACAACGTGATGACGAACAACATCATCATAATAAACGGAAGAAGCACATTCTGAAACATCTACAAGAGCAAGAAGGCCGAAAAAAAAAACAAACAGGAAATAAACAGATAAACACAACCATTTTTACTAACGAAGGGAAGGTTCTATACACCGAATCTTCCAGGGTTAAGTGTAAATAAATTAATAAAGTTAATGCAAATGAACCCCTTGGTTCCCTCAATGCAGAAGACAAAAGAAAATTCCATAATAATGCACAAAGATCAGAAATTTTTCCAGGTAACATATGGTAAATCCTCATTACCAATGAATTCCTGTGACATAATAGAAAAGCACCTCCCATGCAATAGAAAACAGAGGAAAAATTCAAACACATGGCAGGCATGCAAGCTTTACCAAAAACCCGAATACAAAGTTGACACAAAATCATAAGAAAAAAATAGAGGGATAAACCTGTAACGAGGATCAAAAGGGGAAACAATGAAACGACGAAGCTTGACTTTACGGTTGCTATGCGCACCAAGAGAAGGAAGAATCCCACTGGAGATGCTATGGGAACTCTTGTCATCCCTGGAAATTCTTTCAATTTCATTCTCCACCATTTCTCCTCCACACATTTTCCTGTTGAAGAAAGAGACCCTTTTGCCTTCCTTCTTAGGCATCATGGTGAAAATCCCACTTCCCCCTCTGCCTTTTCCCCCTCAAAGATCCCACCTTTATGACAAAACACTCTGTTTCACAGAGTCCCAGAACAGGGGAAATCCCAGAAAAAATGATTTCAAAAAAGGGTAGATTTCCCTCAATCTACAAAAAGTGGGGGTGGTCACATATTAATGATTTGTGTTTTGTTGGGATTTTCATTCGCATTTATTGAGGTTGCATTATTATGGGTTATTATGGATTATGATGATTGTTGGTCGTTTTGTTTGTCTTTCCGAGGTTGTTGTTCTGACTCTCTTTTGATTCAGTTTCGTGACTCAATCATCATTTATTGTTTTTGCTTTTTTGCTCTTTTTCCCTCTTTCATGGGGGAGTCAGGATATGATCGGGCCATCACAGAATTTTGCTTCCCCCCCCAATTTTATGGGTGCTCAAATTTTCGACTTGCTTTGAGCTCCAGATATTTGAGATGGAGCTTATTCGAATTTTGCATATTTTATTTTGAGTTTTAACTTCATTTTTCGATCATGTTAATCTAAAAGACGAGATAATAGTAAAAAAAAGTGACATAAACAATTGCTAATTTCAGATAGCATTTTTTGCGGTAAAAGTGCAGTACAAAACATGGGAAGAAATAATAAGAGACAAGACATATTATGAACTTACTCGAGCAATAACTACTTCACTCAAAAAGAAAAATAATACAAGAACCACAAATTTTTATTATCGGTTATATAGATCCTACATTGTCATTCTACTTCATTGATATACATTTCATCTTGAGTATTTTAAGATATTTTTAATCATTTCATCTATATTTTGACAAATTTGAACCATTTTAAATTTTTTTTTTTTTTTACGGCTACCACTGCCTGATTTGGTTTGAATTAGTAATTCTGGTTGTTTATTACCCTTCTAACTTGAGCATCTAAAGACAATACTAATACTCCTACATATGGTAAGTAATTCTCTGGTGCATAAGTTTACTTATTAAGTGATTTACTATATAGTAAGTGATTTTTTTCACTGATATATAGTAAGTGATTTACTTATTTTGTTAGCAATAGATTATACATGTATATCTTGTACGTTAGTATAAAGAATAAGAACATATTTCAAATTTAACAAAACAAGAAGGCATTGATAAAATATATATATATATATATGATTTATCATTTTTTTCATATTGATAACTTATAATTGAATATTATGAATAATGATTACACAAAGAAATAATCAATCATTGAGTATGATTATGTTATTTTGTCCGTTTGTCTTATACGTTGTTGATATGTTTTCCCTATTCTTTATTATGAAAATACATTTGTTAAGGTTTTATTTTCAATTGAAAGAATACAATAAACTAAACTTAGAAGAAATTAAAATAAATTATATTAAAGACCGCAGGAGTACCATACAGTCGAAGTACTTTTACGTGTATTCTAAAAGATATTTGTACAATAAATTAAAGTATTTTTGTGAAAGGGATGAAATATTTTTATTTCTCCTTTTTTAAGCTCAAAAATCTTTCTTTTGCTGAATAGACAAATCATTTTGAATCTTGCGGGGAATTTCCATCCTTTTCTTTTTCTTTTGAAAAAAATCGAGATTTCACCGCCAAACTTGACCGTCTGTCACTCTTAAACAGTCTCACTCCCTCTACTATTTTATCCCCTTTCCCTTTCCAGTAGTAATGTCTTTAGAAATTTCCAGAAAACAGGGGAAGCTGGAAGCAGAAGAACACATCCGTAGGCTCTGCAATTCCAATTTCGATTCTAGAAACAGGAAGCAATAACCATGGCGTCGTTTTTCTCCCGGTGGTTGGTTGACCCAAAGAGGAATCCGTTGGCAGCTATTCACAAGAAATCTCTTGACCGCCGTCTCCGCAATTACGGTGACTTTTTCTCTCCTTTTTCATGTTTAGCGTGCTTCAGTTCGTTTGTTTTGTTTTTGCAATTTAATTTGCTCTAAATTTGCTCTGCGAATTTAATTAGGGCTCCGATATGATGATTTGTACGACCCCATGTATGATTTGGATGTGAAGGAAGCTCTGAACCGCCTTCCCAGGGAGGTCGTTGATGCCAGGAATCTACGTCTGAAACGCGCCATGGATCTCTCCATGAAGCACCAGTACTTGCCTGAAAATCTCCAGGTTCAAATTATCACTACTTTGTCACGGCTATTTTTGTGTGTGTCTGTATGTGTCTTCTGTTTGAAAGCTTAATTTTTAATGGAATTCATGTGTACTGTTTGTGTTAATAATGTGCGGTATCATCTGATTTCATTGATCGTTATACTGATTTGAGATTAGTAAAACCCAAAGGTTGAACCCCTTTGGGCTGTTTTACTGAATGGATAATTTGTTGGAATAACTACAAAAATCCCAAGACAAAACATAAAGGGGACCAAACTTGGGTTTGACAGAGTAATTTGTTGTTTCTTTTTGTGGTTGCTTGATTGTTTTTTTTTCCCCTCCCTTTCCCTCTGCCTGTATTTATTGTTGTGGTGATACCAATTCCGAGTTGAATGTTCAGATTTGAGATAGTTTTTTGAGCTGCAGAAAGGTGTTGCATTTTGCATCAATATTGAGGATAAATTTTTTAGCATCGGGGGTTTGTAGATAGATTCATTACATTAGAGAACTCCGGGCTTTTAAGATTGTGCAAATGGGACCATAGGAATGGATGAATCAAAGAGAAAAATTATTGTCAAAGTAACTCTTGGAGTGTGATAAAACTTATTAGACACCAGGTTGCCGCACAGTTAGATTGTGTTGCTGTTAGTGAAGTTTTGTGTTGATCCATTTGGATCTTGAGATACCTGCCACTGAGGTTTCTAGAACTTCGATTGAGTGTGGGAGCTACAGTTAGGGTTTTGGTTTGGTGTCGCAACATGTTATGTTGGGTTTGTTTTAAGCCACGTCATCAGTTAAAGTCAAAGTTCTGGTCAGTGGAAGGGTAGGGTTTTCTCTAGTCTCACAAACATGGCTGCTGACTTTGATCTGTAAGACTTTGACTTATGAACTGGCTCAAAACAACTCTGTGGCAACTCTAAATACAAATCTAGCTTACTGAATGACGTCTAGTATACGTGTTTTGTGGGGTATCTCAGAATCTAACCTCTGGATCGTGGTAAAACTTTACACTAGTAGATTATGTAGGGTGCTGGATTAGTGGATTTGATATCTACGAATCTTTTAAACACACATGTTGTGTGAATATATTCGTTGCATCGGAGACTGTTGTTCTGTCTGTAAATTAATCATCAGGCGGAAGGAATCGAGCGAAAAATTTTGGTCAAAACTCCAATATCCACTGTCTGTTATATGATGGTTGGACACTAAACCAACACTTTCGCTGTTCACAAACTGTCCCAATTCTGAACTTTCTAATATTGTTGGGTTAAAACGGACCAGATGTCGCAGAAATATATATAAAAATGATCCATGGGAAGAACAGAACTTTAACATGGTGGGCATTATGGGAATTGGCACTTATCCAATTAATGAATAATAGAAGAGTTTATACTGCTGATAAGATGTAACCTTTTTGGGCTGGAGTTTGGTCCACTCCAAATTGTGCTTGGCTTTGAGAAGTTTGACTTTGATTTAGTCACTATTTTGATTATGCTATGTGAACTTGTATGTGGATAATATGTTGGCATTGAGATAAATTTCAGTAACCTCGGAAATGAAATAGGAGGTCATTTTAATATAATAATAGCTTATGGAATTGTGATGAGAGCAGTTCAATTCTTCTACCATGTGGGTGGGTAATTAGTTATGTACAAAAGCTAGGCACTCTATAACAATGAGCGGGTAGTGTGTAGTTTTTTTATCCCCTACAAGAAAAGACATTTTAGGTGTATATCGTGATTATTTTTTAGCCTATTAGGACAGATACTTGTAAATGTTGTTTGATATTCTTTTTCATAAAGATAATTCTTTTTTCCCTCCCTTTAGAAATGGGTCATTTGGTAGTTACCCTACTCTGGGATTGGCTACAAGAGATATATTTTAGACTGATAGCAATACTGGACGCGTTATTTATAACCGATAGCATGGTTTTCTCCTGGCTGTTCTTTTTATTTGTGTTTTCATTCCTTAGTTTTTACGGTTTGATGGCATGTTCTTTCCCGCGGAAGATCATGGGTTGGTAGGCTCCTCTTTCCAGGATCTCCAAACTAGTGTTTCTGAAGCTGTGGCCAAGATTAATATTGCCTGAGGTTTGATGGACTTAGTCATAGATTTCAAGCCTGATTTCAACTGTAATGAATTCTAGCTTTGCAGAATATCTGAATATGAGCCTTACAGCAGTACTTGTGAATTACTATATGCTTAGGTTCGAAACCAAAACAATGTTAGTGGGTATGATGCTTGCAATAATTTGACATTGATAGTCAGAGTTGTATGATGCTCCGAAACTATGTCTGAAGCTCTTTCAGGCATTTGCTACGTAGTGCAACTAGAGAGAAAACTTGATTGCAGCAAGTGTAGCTTCTCAACTGGGGTGCACAAGCAGGAAAAAACCTTCATATGACTTGTCCGGTTTTGCTCCACTTAGTTTCCATTGTTTTGTTAGCCCCACTTTTCCGCTATCATCTTTTGCCTGTACCTTTGTTTCTCATCTTATGTGGTCAGTTGATTGATTGGCTTCGTTGACAGTATCCCTTGCTGTATCAATGCATATCAATGCACCCTATAAAATTCCTCTTCTCCAATTTCACTGACTTCAGCTACCATAGTGACTGCTGAAGAAATTGACTTATCACGTGATTTCTCTTACAGGCACAGCAGACACCATTTAGAAGCTATCTTCAGGAAATGCTGGCTCTCGTAAGTGCATTTAGCTGAGATGCTCTTTTAGCTCGCCTTTTATCAGCACAGTCAGGGAGTTAGGCATATCCTAACTTTCATGGGATGGGGTTAATGGGCTAGTTTTCAGTATCTGAATATGCATTTTGCTTCAGCTGATATTGTTTTACACATAGTGCTATCATCCAATGAAGACTGGTTGACCATGCTAAGATGCTAGTTTTGTAAAATTTGCAGGTAAAGAGGGAGAGAGCAGAACGTGAAGCTCTTGGCGCTCTGCCTCTTTATCAGCGTACCATACCTTGAGGTTTATTTGAGAGACTGAAGCGGTTGTTGAACGGATATCCTAGTTACATCTGAAGAGCGTGTGTATAAGAGTGTATGTAAAATTGCTGTATCAAAAAAGTTCTGTGAATGTAAAGTCGATGTCTACTTGAAGTAGCCCTGTCAAGAAATCCAACTTTTAATGTATGATTTGAAGGAACATTGCTGTCTGGGATTTGATTGATGTTTGAAACCTTGAACTCTTTCAAACATCATTTCAGAACTGGACGTATTATAAAGAACGTACGTAAGGCTCATAAACTCTTGTGTGAGCGTAGAACTAATGTATTGCCGTTCAACATGTCAAAAACTGGGGTTTGCAGCTTGTGATAAAACGTAAGGCGCATGAAGGAAGTCGCAAGACAATTGATTGAGGCTGATGTTAGTTCAATGGCCTCCTAACATTCAGAGAATAGCATTCTTGATCATTTCTTTTTCTCATATGAATTTGGTCGCAGAAGCAGTAGCATGTCCCTGAGGAATAGACTTGGTATTTTGGGTACATCGGTTCCAAATTGCATATTTTACCTAAGTGGACAGCGGAATCTTTCAGTGAGTCAATCAAGGTTGGAGTCGTGCGGAGTCATTTAATAGATCGGAGAAATAAATTCTTTCTTAAAGATGAGCATCTTTACACATTCCATCAGGGTGTTTGTTACCTGTATTATGCTTCCAGTTGAATCCGGTGGTTAGCTTTTGATGACAGCTAAATTGCGAAAGGGGAAATTTGCAGGAAACTGGAATGTTAAATTGGAGAATTGGAATTCTAATTTACCCAAAAAAAACATAGAGGTTTAACGATGTCACTGCCAAGAAGATATAATAAATCACAATCATAATCTGATTGGGATTTGTTACTTAATAAATTCAATTCCTGCAGCGTTTCCAGTTTCATCAATGAATCAATGATCATGCGTGAGTCTTCATCAATTTCTTAGTTGGAGACGGATTTTATATATACAATAGTTTCACTTTTGAATCCAATTGGTTCTCTAGCTTAAATTTCCTATAAATATATATATGACCAGGTTCTCATATTTGGTACCAACCGAAAATAATAAAGCAGGTCTCTGTCTCTCTCTCAAGAGTCAAGAGTAATTTGATTGATTACTATATCGTCCCTCTGTTCATTCATTCAAGCTATAGAATTAATTTATGGCTACGAAGATCTCTACTAAAACCAGGTTTCCCCATGGTGCTGTTTTCTTGATAATCTTTTTGTTACTTCTGCAACCACATGTGAGCTGTTCAAGAAAGCTGTTACCAGCATCCGCGGATCCTCATTCTTCCGCCGATCCTCCGACTGATAACAATGGCTTGCAGCAGAAAAGTTGCAAGTTTGACAAAATGTTTAACCTGGGCGATGCTTCGTCCGACACGGGAAACCGTGTTCGCGAAAATCAATCGGAGATTCCGTGCTCATCATTTCCATACGGAATCACTCTTGGACGACCTACGGGAAGATGCTCTAACGGCCTACTGATGATCGATTACTTCGCCCGAGCCTTTGGTTTGCCCTACCTTAATCCTTACGAAGCTGATTGGGAAGTTTTCGATAATGGAGTCAACTTTGCTGTTGCCGGGGCTACTGCATTGCCTGTTGAGACCTTACAAGCTAAGGGTCTTCCATCTCATAAAGGCAACACGGATTACTGGCTTGGGACCATCGGCATTCAGTCACTTCATATCGCAACTAAAAGTTCTCTAAGTGTCCAAATAGAACGGATGTCGACTTACTTCAACAAAACTTGTAAGACCCGGGCAGCATGCAAAGAGTATTTGCAAAATTCAGTATTTTTCGTTGGTAACATTGGAGAAACCGATTTCAATTTCGCATTCTTTGGACTTGGGGGATCGGAGTTTGTTGGTCTTACCCGAGAAATAGTTAAGAGCATTATGGAAGGTGTTAGAGCCGTGATCCGGTTTGGAGCGACTAAAGTTATTGTTCCTGGACGTTTCCCAATTGGTTGTCTTCCCATGTCTCTAAACTATCACAACCCTGCGGAAGACAGTCCATCATTTTACGATTCTAATCAATGTTTGAAGGGATACAATAGTTGGGCTGCTCATCACAACGAGATTCTAAAAGTAGCCATTGAAGATCTCAAACGGGAACATCCCGATGTTACTATTGTATATGCCGATTACTACAATGCCTACTTGTCTCTTTTAACCAACGCCGAAAAACTTGGATTCGAGAACAAGTTTTCAGCTTCTTGTAGGAGTGGAGATAGGTTCAACTTTTCTTTTGATAAAACATGTGGGAAAGCTGAATCTTGTTCGAATCCGGAGAGTTATATCAGTTGGGATGGATTCACCACCACGCAACAAGCTAACAAATTTATGGTTGACTATCTCCTCGACTCCATCATGCCTCAGTTGAATTGTAGTAGTTAAAATCTGTTTAGTTACTTATAAACTCAATTTCTAGTTATAGGATTCAAGGTTATATATGTGCTTCTTGGAAGTGGTTACTCTTTTCTTAGATGATCAATAATCCGAAACTCGTGTCTTGTAGTTACTCTTTTGAGATCAGTTCTTCTTGTTACAAATCAATTTTTTTTTTTTTTTTTGGTATGTATAGTAATAAAAATTTCTTTTATCCATGGCGAATCCAATAAATTTCTTACTTGCATCTTCTTCCTCTAGAAATTACGAGCTATTTCAAGAAGTAATCTTTGTAAAGAACATAATTTGACTATAACGGATCCTTATGATTTCTTTTGATTTTTTGGTGAGATGATGACTTTTCCCTTTCTAGTTTCCAGGTTACAAAACAATAACCACATTTACTGAAATTGTGTGCTAACCTGATTCATGTATTTCTCTGCAACAAACAGAAGGCAGTTCGGATCACGCACTTCGATCAACACCAGTAAACCACCAATATTGGTCATCTCAGCAATGACCTGTGTAGAGTCAAATGACGAAATAATAAAAAATAAAAATTTATTATCATAATTTCTTAACTACTCTAGTCAACCTTTCGACCCCAGACTACCAATGTAGTCTACCAAGAAATATTGCAAGATATATAATTATTTAATTCAAAGTTCATTTTTTTTAATTTCTTAACAATCTTTATTTGCTTTAAATAAATTACCAGTGTATTCGTTTGGTAAAACATTGTCGATGTTTGTGTTTTATATTTTTTAATGAATTCATTATTTATTTTATAGAAATACAAATATCTATACAAATATTAACATTTGTCTATGTATGTGTGCTCCCCGTCCATCGGACGGGTCTAACACCTAGTAAATTCTATAACTTGCCCAAATTAACATTCATTCTTTAGGATTAATCTCAAACTCAGTTACTACAAAAAAAATTTCTGCCAGCAGAAAAACGCATATCATCCAAGATCAAATATTAAGTCTATTGTTCGTGTGAAAATGAAAAATTAGCTGATTAAGATTCATCTCATTCACCTTTCTTATCCTTTTGAGTTTAAATCTGTTGGAAGGGGGAGCGGCACATCAACAACATCAACAGCAACAACAAGGAGCCATGTATACAACAAACATATAGTAATTAGCAATAACACAGTAACAACCCAATCCAGCTAGCTTCTTCTGCTAACTGGCTAACTATATTCTAATCTGGCTAGCTACTTCGACAAACTGGCTAGCTGTTACAATCCAGCTAGCTTATTTCAACAAGAGTCCAAAACTAGCTAGCTATTTACTAGACAGAATGTAACACCACAAAACCAGCTAGCTATTTCTACAAAACAAGGTAGCTACTTTTAGACAGAATACTGACTACATCAAAACGTTTGGCTATTTTCACAAATAAGCTAGCTATTACAGCAACTACAATGGCTCAACCATACAACATCAATCAACCACACCTCCCACTACTCATATTGCTAGTTGTTTACACTTCTACAAGAAACACACATACAAATGCAGCGGAATAAAGTAAACAACTAAGCAATCAACAACAAGAAGCACAAAAAAGTTACGTGGTTCGATCTCTCATTGATCTACGTCCACAGGAATGACAATACTTTTACTAGCATAAGAATAGAAGAGTTTACAAAGGTGGAGACTCTCTCAACACACTATGTCTATCTCCCTCAATTCTACCCTTACACTCTCCCAAAGTGTTTCCCATTATTCACCACATGTGCTCCGGGAAAGAAAAGCACCATCAACAAAGAGTAAGAAAATAGAAGAGGACTCTCAACTCAACTTAATTCTATTTTCTCTTCCCCTCACTCAAGCTCTCTCTCAAGTGGCTACATTTTGCCTTCCTCCCAAATGATTCTAGTACAAACATTTCCTATTTATACTGAAACCAACACAAAACTCTACTAACCTATTGGATTCAAATAGGGTCACCATGGGCTTGGGAATTTGAGGAGACACCTAACAAAATCAACATCTATATATTTGATCCTCGTAGCAATAGCGATTCATCGAAATAAATGCAAGTCTTAGTGTTCAATGATTGAAAAGAAACATCAATTATAAGACTGTAGAATGTGAGAAATTACCAATATCTTCTATCTGGAAAATCGCAACACATGAATGAAACCGCAAACGGCGCCAAAGGCCTAAGAGAGACATATATAGCATTGATGAGATCTTAGGGATTATGTCAAAATGAGATCCCACAGTTGAGAACACTATCTTTGCAACACATCCCACATCCACTAACGTCAATGTGTATTCACTACTGAAATTTGAATTACCGATAAAAAAAATAATACTCCCTTCGGTCCTTAATATAAGATATTTTAATTTTGTTCTAGGTTTCACATAATAGGCACTTTTAATTGACAAAGAAAACCTTAAAAATATTTCCTAACAATCAGGAAAACACAACGAATATGAAAATATATTTTTAAGGTTTTTTTATCATTTAAAAATGTATACTAAGTGAAACTTATGACAAATTAAAATGCCTTATATTAAAGACCAGAGGAAGTACTAAATAATCAACTCGCTGGTTTTGCAATATATATACATATACATATACAACTACTGACTAACTTATACATATACAGCTACTGACTAACTTATTTTAGAACTCCAAACTGAATGTCATGTTGAAATTTAAATTTATCAGCGTGCGGTTTTGATAATGGTTTATTTGTTACATAAAAGCATCACAATTAACTCTAAATTTAGTAAGAAATTGGGGGTATTTCTTATTATTTGTGCACTCTACTTAACCAGTTTTTGTGTTTTTGTTAGGTTGGGGTTTGGTTGCAAAATTTCTGAAAAATTAAGATCAAGGGAACAATTTGTGGGCTGCTGAGGCAAATGTTGCTGAGCTGGACGAAGAAGCACCTCCTTAGACAAGAAGCATCTTGCCATTAATGAGCATGTCTCCTCCAAGAGGCATGCTTGTCCCCCATCCGAAATTTCAGCCTCCCACTGATCAATGAGACCAATGCTGCCACTTCTAGAAGAAGAGAAGAAGAACAGCCAAGTTTCGATTCCAGGCTCAAGGCATTGGGAGGATTAAACAATTACAAACATGGGGAGGCTCTCATGATGAAAGAACCGGCTGCAAGGCCCTATAAAAGAGGGAACTGCGCTCTCAGAAGACATCCATCCATCTCTATCTCAATCTCTAGTTACCCTTTCAGTTGCCACAAAAAAAACACACAGAAAACTCCAGGTAGAAGGCAAGAAGGAAGAGGAAACAACAGCAACTCAGTAAGGAAGCCAAGTGGAGAGTAGCCATCCCAGTTTCTGCTTCAGTTCCATGAGTGAACCCTTTCACTCCCAAGAGTGGCTCAGAAACTGCACAAGCTCTTTTCTCGTCTCTTGACTATTAGCTTGAACTTTGTTTATTATGCATACTTCTATGATGTCTTTTGATGTAGTAGATGTAGCATTAATCTGTATAAGTAGCTAAACAGTTTTCAGGGGTTATTCTCCTCAACTATGTTGTAGTTGCAATGCACTGGTTTTGTTTCTTGTTTTAAGGTTGAAAGTTTTTCTACATTCATTTACTTGATCACTAAATTGAATGCATGCTAGAACTATGGGAGATCTGGAAAGATAAACTTGGTTTGGATTGTTTCAACCTTAACTTATGACATAGAGGTAACAGTCTATGGTTTTAACTGAGATAGGAATATACTTAGTTAACATAAGCATTCTTGAAGGCCTAAGAACTTAATGACTTTGTATCTGGAATCAATCATTGGAAAATAGATTGTTAAGGTTGCAAGGATGACTCTAGGAAAAATGGGAACTGACTTAGAGTTATAAGTGAGCTGAATGAACAAGAACTCAACCATTACAGTGCTAATAAACAACTACAATAGTAAGAAGAGGAGAAGAACACCCCTGGCCTTCATTCCCCTGAGTGACTGTTTCTATTCCCCTGAGTGACACCTTGTCTGACTGGTAGTTTTTCTTTACAACAAATTTGGTAATTAGCTGTCATCGTGGGATCGACCTAGCTTCCATTATCTACAAAAATCATAATCCAAACTAGTAATATTTTTGGTGAACTCGGCACGCACCAGAAAGTGGCGCCGTTGCCGGGGACAGCGTAAAACCTCCAAAAATTTGTTGTTTTTGTTTGTTTGTACATATATAAAATTCTTCTCTGGTTACCTCACTAAGCTTCCAGTTTCTTTTCTTTGGTGTATGACTAGAAGGCACCAACGAAGTGAACTTGTTTTTGACCCAGAAATTGAAGCTACCATACGCAGAACTAGAGCAGCAAGAAGAAGGCAGAACCGGTTGCAACAGGACAACCAAGAAGGTTCATCAGAAATGGCTAACCAAGGTGGTAACCTGGAGAACAATAGGAACCCTGGTGGGGATCAACAAAATCGACCAGAGAGACTGCTTAGAGATTTCTTCATCCCACAGCAAGAAGAAGTCCAATCCCCTTTGGTGTTCCCTGATGTAGAAGCAACCAATTTTGAGCTCAAGCCACAGATGATCCAATGGACTCAATCAGCCGGTCCATTCCATGGATTACCTCATGAAGATCCTAATGATCACATCTGAAGTTTCCTGCGTTTATGCAGTACTTTTAAAATTCAAGGCTTATCTAATGATGACATTGGACTGGGGTTATTCCCTTTTACCTTGCAGGATCACGCCCAAGCATGGTTCAACACATTACCCAACAACTCTATTTCCACTTGGGAAGAGTTAAGACAGTGTTTCCTGACAACATTCTTTCCACCCGCAAAAGTTGCACAACTCAGAACATCAATAATGAACTTCAAGCAGCATGGAACAGAAACACTCTATGTAGCATAGGAAAGACTGAAGGAAATGATCAGGAAATGCCCTCAGCATGGTTTGGAAGAGCATCTTCAACTGAGCATCTTCTACAATGGGCTGCTACCAACTACAAGGGACGCCCTTGATGCTGCAGCTGGTGGTGTATTTATGATGAAGCCGGTTGATGCA